TCGTGAAAATGCACACTGTACTGTACCTTGCTCTTTCAAAAGAAAGTGATGAATTTCTTTCATTGACTGAAACAAAAATCAAAGAAAAATTCSCAGAGTGTTAATGATCATGAAAGAAATTGGAACAATAAAAGAGATTTATGCACCAAGGTGTTTTCAAAGCATTTTTGCAATTACCTAAGTTCTCCATAGGTTTAAGGCCATCTGTGACTATACTGTCATCTAAGAGATTTCTAGAACTGGTGCTGCTTGCAAGACTGGAATTTATTCACATTATATAGTTCATCAGTATACTATAGCTAGTATATTGTCTTAAGTAGGATTAACATATATCTTTAAGTCTCCAGACCTAAATAATTTATGTTCAAATCATGTAGAAAGGTGATGATTACCTTAAAGATTCAAATGATGACTTCAAAACTGTCTGCATCACACTGTATACCAAACAACAAATTAGGTTGTAATATATCAAGATTGTCAAAAACACTCTTAACTGGCTTACTTTGCTCCAAGACTTTGGGCTTTCCTATGGCCAGGTACAAAGTTTGAATTATTTGTTGTCTTTTTGGTACATGTTGCTAGGATAAAGACAGAGTTCAATCATGACAATTATTTCAAATTAATAGGCATATCTTTATATAACATATTTTTTTAAACATTTTGATCCAAATAACAATAATATAAAGTATTTACCATCTAAACTTTCTCGTGACCTTGTTTTGTAGGTATCTGGCACTGTTGGCTCTATTTCAAGTGATAACCTATGCAAAATAAGTAAAAAAATAGTACWTATAGAGGATTATTATTAGTTTCAAATTTTTTCAATTTGTTTGGCTTGTTTTTTCTCTCTTTTTTAGTGGACTTTSAACTTGACCCTGATAATAGTAAATTATTATATTAGATTATAATTAAATTATTAGTTTTTACTGACCTGTAGTTGTTGTCCTCTAGGAACTTTTGTAATTCCTCAATRTAATTCATAGAATTCAAGTAATCCTGAATATGTGGCTGTGGTTCTGTTATACCATAGTCTGATTGTTGAAACTCGGCAATGATTCTAATGATATCATTCATCTAAATGAGACARAGACATCAGTTAAAACAATAATATAAAAAAAGTGAAGGAAATCAAAATTAGATGAAATAAGAGGAAAAAAGAAAATATGATGAAATAAATGGGAAAATGAGAATGAGAAAAATGAGAATGAAAATGAGAAAAAAAAGGATGAGATTACAATGAATGCTGCGAAGATGAAAGAGCTCAGGTATAAATTCAAGCATACTTTTTTAGTTCTTTCATTATCCATTCCTCCAGTGCTTGGGTGCACTGTGTCGATGTACACCAGGTCTGTTAAATACATGCCTAAAAATATGTATAAAATGCTAATTAATAATCAATGACTATATATACTTAACTGAATATAGCCATGATACTGGATGACAAATAAAATTTTTTCTAGTATCAATAATTGATGAGTACATTCAAATAAAAATAAATATGAATTAGTGAACGGTGGCCATACCTAAGTGAGGAATACAAGGAAGCTTTACTGTACTCAAATAATCTCTTAACTTTGTCCTAAAAATGATTAACACTCAAATTTAGTGAGCAGATATTACAGAAGGACAGTAACTTTATTATAATGTCAAATAAAATTAACTTACCTGTTTTCATTCTCTGATAATAATTCCACGAATTTTTCAAATGTTGCATGGTCTTTTCTTGGAAGATTCTGAAATATAAATTAATATTATTCCATAACTAAATAAATCTTTTATTATTGCTTTCCCATGTTTTCATGTTCATTCTCATTGTATTTCATTCATTATTTCAGTTTTTTACTTGCCTCATTTATCATTTAATATTCATTCATTTTCTGTTCATCTTTCATTCATTTCTACCATTCTTTTAAATTCATTCATCTAGAATCTTCCATTCAATCATATAATCATATTCTCCCATTCATTTTATACCCATCCATCCACACATCTTTTTTTAATTTGTTCATCCTTTGCATTCGTTCGTTTATTTTTCATTCACTCCCATTTTCAATTCATCCCTTGTTTATTTTCTTCAAGCTACTAACCTCCCATGTCTGGTCAAGTCGGTAAACTGGTACACTCTGTAAACCTGATATGATAGCCTTAAGTGCATGGATGTTATCCATCTCAAAAAATTTCTAAAAAAAAAGCAATAGAATAGCCATTAGACCAAAGCGATTGGTAGTATTGAGAAAAATGCATTTAGTAAGGTTATCATGTATCCTATCTTGAAGGCATTGAATACATGCTGACGAGAAATAAGGCCAGCTATGTGCACAAAATGTATAGTGTTTTATTYCTGAGATAAGAATTTATGTTTACTAGTGATTATAGTGACCAACCTCATCAAACTTGGTGTTACTACCTTCCTATTGATAAGATATTATTGCCATTATGGTTAGCCTTTTGATAAACATTTTTCAACACCTCAATCTAATTCTAAATCTCCATTTGAGTGCCTTGGCATGTTCTGTATTAAGTGATCATCTCAGCTGTGTCTGTGTGGTTTATTCTAAAGATTAATKAATTACCTTTGCTATTTTAATAAAATGTGACATGACAGCCACTCTTGTTTTCAGTTTTTTAGCATTCAGGATTTCCCTAACAACCCAAAAGCTAATCTGCAATGATTACAATACATAACATCTTTAATAACATTCATCAATAGTGGTTGAAAAGAACAAACAATCAAGTTCAGCTTACGTGATTAAATCTTCTAATGAATTCAACCACATTTGGAGATAAGTTCAGCTTTTGTTTTTTGACCCAACCACAGCAAGAAAGTTCCTGAAAATAGTTTTCAAAGATATGTACATGTAAGATGGGCATGATTATAATCAATCATCAATTAATATTAGTTTATTATTATTATTTATYAATTATCAGTAATATACCTCTGGCTGTATATTTTTAAATACTTCAAGGTCTCTATAAGTCACCTCTCTCTGAAATAAGAAAAAAAAAATGAATAAATGAAAATGAAATTAAAGAGAAATGAAGACAGGATTAAAATATGTCAAAGTGAACAAAAGATTTTGGACATTCTGGGTAGGGTGTGCTGGGGTGAATTGTGGGACCATTAGGAACACATAATATAGGTTGTATTATTTTTTTTAACATCCAGGCCTGGCTAGGTGTTATGCATAACCCTAAAAATTTACTCTGGGGTGTAGGGAGGGGGTAAAACAAAATGATGCAGATATAGTTCACTTACAGCAAATTCTTCTGGCGTAACTTTTCTTATGTCGAACAACACAGCATCGAAGTTCTTTGTGCTCACACTATCCAGTTCATCCTCAGACTATAAAAAGAAAACAAATAATATACATTAAATACAATTTTATTGTAAGTATTAAGTACTAAAAAGGTAAGTAAAGTTACCTCAGACAAATCACTGGCAGAACTGCTAAAATCTTTTTCTACTCCATTGATATGTGGTGGGTACTCTGATGGAAAGACTTGTTTGGATTTCTTGTCATTCATATTAATCTGTATGAGATAGTTTATAATTAATAATATAATTATGCAAAATAATAATAAAATAGCAAMAATGAAACTAAGATAAACAACATCAACCAGAAGACATTTGAGGAAACTAAAATTACTGTAAGTCAAAAATATGAAAGTAGTTCAAGATGAAGTTACAATTTGCACAATCTGTCAACAATTCCTACAACCAATGACGTCAATTTATAAGGACTTTTACAGATCTTATTGACTGTAAAATATGTCAGGAATATTGCTTTATATACAGTAGGGGGGAAGCGTTTATCTCTAAAGATTTCAATTACTAAAAATTATGTTCTAGAAGATTGACAAATAACACCCTATGTCATAAATTGTTACTTCAATTAATTGCGGATAAGAGTCTAGAAAAGTGTGACCACATCTGAACCTCTACAAGGTTTCAAAGTTTACTGTCTAGTCTGAGGTCTAGAGTTGTTCATTGAAAAGGAAACATAATTATCAGGGCATCAAGTGTGTGCACGTTATATTCTTTCAAAGACGTATGTTGCCTGCGAGCTGTTCTTATTAATTACGACTGGTCAATTATTGCTATAATT